TCATATTACAGACTTTACTAACACCTAAGCTTTCTCCAAAAATTCATTTAAAATTGTGTGTGGATGAAAACATCTCATAATCCAGTCGCACTAGTGTCGTGTTCAGTTCTTATTCCAGTGTGTGCCTCTCAAACATAATTTGGGTGAGGTATTGCCTCGCACGCGTCTCGCGAATAAAAAAACTTATATGGAGACGTTATAACCTCATTTTGAATTTATTATTTAAATGTTTACAATTTTACTTTTAGCTGAAGTATCCTTCAATCACTTAAATGTCTAGGTCTATTTTTGGACAATGGAAACGGTTTTAACACTCATCTTTTTTGAGGTTTTCAAGTCTTTGGAAATACTTCTAGGATTTTTGTTGTAAATTGTAGACAGCATAGTTATTGTCGGTTGTAAATACACTAAACGGCGTAATTACACAGTATTACTTACTAAGACACACTGGCACTCGGTACTAGATTATTTGCGACGGCGCGCGTGTGTCGCGGGACCAATTAGTTGAACAATTCCGAGCACGAACTGTTTAACCGCTTTAATTTCACCCCAATAACACGTTAATTCGTCCCAACCACCCCCCTCACTCCCTCTCCACACCGCCAGCCGCCGCCTGCGATAACAAAGTCGTAATAAAAATTAAATTTGTTCACCTGTGAAGCGACGTAAGTGGTCACACATAGGTCATGAAACCGTGTTTATAAAAAGTAAGAGCCAATTAAGTTTTATGAAGACCAGTTAGTTGCTTTAGCTGTAACGAAGAGAATAAATAGACACGCCAGACGTAATAAAACAGAACGTTATTTCAATTACGAAAATAATCGTACGCAAAGTCAATTTGTCACTCGATTAAAGTCAAAAGACGTCATACAAGCGCAGAATAATGTAATTACGAGCAATCCAATGTAACAAACAGCGGGATCGGCTCTCGACACAATCGAATAATATTTAAACGCAGTGTTTCCGACCAATCGTGGCGCGCGCTCGCCGCCCGAACGCGCAAATCTGACATCTGTCATATTTGAACCGCATTGTTAGTGTTGTGATGTTCGTTTTTTGAAACGCGACAGTTGGCGCGGCCGTCCTCTCCGCTGTTTTGTTTTGTTGTGCGACTGATTGAATCTGTCGCAACTAAGTAAAACAACGGGCCCACGAATACGCGTTGATTTTCTTGTTGATTATTTGACAGTGACAAGAATAGAGCACAATGAACATGTTTTGGCGTTCGTTTTATAGGGGCGCGGAGCGATTTGCAAATAAATAAAACAATATTCGACTCGGATTGCTTGTATTAGACCGCAGTCGATATCAGACATGTCAGTGAAGATGACTGAAACACAAACACAAAACGTTCGACTTAATTAATTACCAAACTTGTATTGGTACAAAGTTGGAGCGAACTTAAGTAATATTCGAAATTGATTGACTAACCAAACAAGGTTCGCAGTAAATGGGCAATTTCGTTGTCGAGCAGTAGAATACAAAGCAAGTCTTAATTCAATTTCGCAGTGTAAAGTGTAAGTAACATGAAACAAACAGCGAGTAGAACAAGTTGACGGCTGTTTGTGTAATTTTTACTGCGATGCACAGTGGGCGACATCAGCCGCGCGGGGACAGAACGTCGCGTGCTTAACGAACACTCACTAACTAAGAATTAGACGTTTTATGATTTCTAATGTAGTTTTCGTTTCTGTTAATTAACGTAACAATGCCCATTCTGGTTTTACAACTCGGATTAATGAGGTTTTATATCTGAACGTGTACTTTATTGCTACAGGCGCTTGTTAGAGTTGCCAAAAATAGCAGAATGTAGGCTAAGGATTTAGGGCGAAGGTACGTACTAGCTATTATACTAAACTGTCTCGTTAGCAGAATAACGAGGCAGCCTACGAGTCTAAGTAGGTAAAGGTGGTACACTACAATGATTCTGAGACAGGCATAGCAGTAACTGATTTATTCATTTTCAAATGTCCATAACACGATCTTCTAATATGAATAAAAGTTTTGGGTAATAAATAGGATGTAGAATGTTTTAACATTTTCTTAATATTATTGATGTAGTTACACAAAATCTTTTATTTACAAATAATAAACTTAAAGAACATAATTATGAGCAAATAGGTATAACAACTTAAAATTAACTATTAAACTAAAACACAAAATAAAAAGAAGATTAAAAAAATTACCATCAGCAAGGCGTCATAGAATTCGTCCGCATACACAGTTACATTGTGTATATACCTACACTTATTAGTCTATTTTAAATCATTGGTCTGCCAAAATCGATTTAGCACTCCGGATTTCAAAACAACAGTCTTTAAGTCACAATAAACACAACTTACTCGATGTATAACACATAACATCACATCGTATCCCCGAAGGGGTAGGCAGAGGTGCAAGGCACATTACGGTATTTTACGGCAATGCCACTGTACCATGTAACACCCATTTTTCACTATTTTATGTTATGTTAGTCCCATGGTATGGGGGTGAGCCTATTGCTATATACCGGGCACAATTTCAGACTCCGTGCTACTATTGAGATTTTTTTTAAAACCCAGTAATACTTTGCCCGACCCGGGAATCAAACCCGAGACCTCTTGCCCGGTAGTCGCACTGGACAACGAGGCAGCTGGTTGTTTTATTAAAATAAATATTGCAAAGATACCTTACGTATTGTTCAGTGTCTATTATAATCAATATTATAATAAAACGTCGTCGAGTATTTGTACCGTACATCGGTACCGGCGACCGTGGCACCGCCCGACACCATACTTCATACCTCGGTGAGGGCACACACGCGTTCTTAATCGAATAACTTCTATGAATATCTTCTTCTTTCTTTTTTTTTTAAAAACGTTGCCCCACACTAGGATTTTCTCCTGTGTCGTGGGTGCGTTTACAAACATACAATATCACATACACATCACACCCAGACCCGAAACAACAATTTGTGGATCACACAAAGTGTTGTCCCGTGCGGGAATCGAACCCGCGACACGTTGCACGGCAGCCGGTTGCCCAGCCACCGCACCAACCGTGCAGTCAGTGCAGTCAATATGTCTTATGTCTAAGTTCGTGGGCGCCTCGTTATGCTAATTGGTTGTTTATTTTAATCGCTGTAGGGTTGGAATTAGATTACATTTTGATATATTTATGTTTATTAGTGAAGCCTAATACTACATATTTCCATAAGGCACTCGTTAAATTGTGCAAAAAATTACATCATTATTCAGTTATTCACAAATTAAAAAACAACTATATTTTGAACTGTGACATCAATTTCCAAGCTATGCTCTATCTCAAAAATAAGACAACGATTTAAGTAAATACTAAATTAAATATGTAGTCAAGTTATGTAGTAACATGAACGTTGGCAACCCTAACAGGAAGTAAGTGAGTGAACCAGTAAATAAATTGCGCAATCAACGGTAGTGACACTCAGACGCCGACTCACGTAACTACATACCTTACAACAACTGCTTTAGTTAAGGCGCAGCGCTTCCGTAGAGACATAACATAACATCACTCCTTTTTATCCCCGAAGGGGTAGGCAGAGGTGCACATTTCGGCACTTAATGCCACTGTACAAT